AACCCTTCTGCTGCGCATTCGGGAACAAACCACCCCATCCTTTGGGAACAAACACTTCGCTCGAAAGGGAACAGAGCCTGCAGAGCTTTTCAGAAAAGGAGCAAGCCGCCCGAAAAGCAGCTGGTGCACTAGAAAAGAAGGAGCAAACCTTCGAAATGGACTGGGGCTGTTGAGACGAAGATGCAAACCGTTCGAAACGGACTAAAGAGGCAGAAGCAAACTGCTCGAATCGTACTAACTAGAGCAATTACAGAGTTTGAAAAGCAGGTCGAGAGGTCGAGGGAAAGGGTTGGCACATTGGAATAGAAGACGCAAGCCACTCGAAAGGCGCAGCCAGAGCAACATAAAGAAAAGGTGCCACCCGCTCGAGATGGACAGACAATCGAAAATTGGTAGAACGTTTCAAAAGGGACTAAGGCATGTGAAAAAGAGAGACAAACCGCTCGAAAGGGAGTAGAACATTTTTGCAGAAGGGCTCGAGCAAAAGTTCAAGACGCATCGAAGCACTTCATAAAAAAAACCGTTCGAAATGGACTGAGCACTTGAGAACATGGAGCAGACCAATAGAAGGACCAAGCTCTTCGAGAAGGGTGGGAGCGATGGCATACAAGATGCAAGATTCGAAAGGTATTATAGACTATAGACTATAAAGCATGCAAAGGAACAGGTGCAAGCCGCAAACCGCTAGAAAGGGACTCAGCATGTGACGAGCGATCTTTAAATGTCTGACCTCGGGTGTCCAGTTTGATGGGGATGGGACAGCAACGTGCCGAACACGACGGTAGCGAATGTCCGATTCTCCGTTCGCTGACGTGAAACTCGGTCAGGTTTGCTCCTAACCCGGTGCATGAGGGCTGGGTCGAGCCCACGTAAGGTGTAAAGAGGATGTGCGCATCGGGTAATCAGCGGAAAACAGGCGACTCCTATGGTGTCGTGACGGTCAAAGCAGCCCGCTTCGATGTACAGCTCTGCTTGGTGCCTTCGTGGCAAGGCACTTCCAGATGACGACCTTTGCTACGAGAATGCCATCATCATGCGGCGATTCTTGCGATATCCGTTGATCATCGACCCATCGGGTCAGGCGATTACGTTTCTGAGCAACGAGTTCAAAGACAAGAAGCTCCTGAAGACATCCTTTGTGGCAGCTTGGACTGGACCTGACCATCCTTCCCACTTGCAACTTAGCTGTGCATGCTGTAGGGCTCGAAAACTGAATTGAGTGAGGAAAACAGCTTTATGAAGAGCCTGGAGACCGCGCTTCGCTTTGGAGCCCCGCTCATTGTGATGGATGTGGACAAGGTGGATCCTATCCTCAACAATGTGCTCAACCGGGAGACCCACAAAAGCTGCTCCGCTGCAACTGCGAACAGTCCGTGTGGAAACCCTGAGCTCTCGCACCGGCATCTGAAGCGTGCGAACCCAGTTAGGATTTGGAAAGTCCGAGGGGCATATCGTTATGTGCTGATTGGCAAGCAACAGTCGAGGCGGGCCGCGGGTGCTGATCACTCTCGGCGATCAGGACATAGATTTCAGCCCCGCCTTCGAGACACTTGGCTCAGACTGGCTCTCAAAGCCTCCCTTCTCCCGTCTGCTCATGTCTGCTCTATCTGAGGATGTACATGTGCACCCGCGACTCCACAGCGCAATTCACGCCTGACCTGTGCAGCCGAGCCACGACCTCAGCTCTGGTGTGCGCTCTTCGAGCACTGTCGAGCGCCTTTTGTTCGGACTATAGTTCTGTGAATTCCATTTCTGTAAGGTGACCTTCGTGAACTTTACTGTGACGCCGTCGTCGCTGCAGAGTCAGTGCGCGGTTCAGCGGACGCTCTGCGATCCGACCCTGGCCCGGAGAGCACATGCACCTCCTCAAATGAGGTGCATGAACGCGTTGCTGAAGTCCGAGCGACCGGATGTGGGACACTCGCGACCTCACACAGCCAAGCGCAGCGTGGCCGTGTTTTACCGCCTTCCGAGGTTGACCGAAAACGGGAGGACCAACTGAAGCTCCAGGGCGAGTGCAAGGTGCAAGCTGCCAGCCTTCTTCAAAGACGCTTGTCTGGGACGTGCAAGGTGAAGATGCGCGAGCTGGAGGATGCGAAAATCCGGGCAAGGCTCGGACCCGTCTGCCGCGTGCTGGATCTGCTGCGAGGAGCACCTTCTCCATGCCTTGTCGAACGTCGAAGGCTCCATCTTGGAGGACTCTAATTGGTTTTGGCTTCGGACAAGTGAAGTAAACGGATGAACTTCTAGGACGAGAAAGTCATCGCGACCCTCGAGAAGATCAAGAAAGAGTCATCAGAGATCCAGGACTCATCTCAGTTTGCAGGCTTTGAAGGCCTTCGAGGTGTCGTGGTTTTGCTGAGGAGAAGCTGGGCCAAACCGATGCGATCATGCAGGACATCAGCTTTTGTCTTGCAGATTCAGATCTGTTTATGCTCGTCAGACACTCCAGGCAAAATGGTGTATGAAACATTGGCTACAAGCTTGGAGAGTCCAGTCAGAGAGGAGATCAACGAGACGAGCGCACTGTACGACACCGCCGGGGAAGTTGCGGCCAACCTCTACTTCATGCCAGAGCCTCTGATTTGTGGCGATTCGTCTTTTTTTTTTTGCGTGGGTGGTTTCGAGGCTTCAGCGCATGGGGAGCATGCACACGCTCTACCGCTACAGCCTGGCCTTCTTCTTGGAGGAGACTGAGACTGGGTTTAGAGAGAGACGGCCCCCCGGACACGTTTCGAGAGGTCTTCGAGGCGTCGATCAAGACGGAGCTCAGCAAGGCCCAAGAGTGGAAGTTCCTCGAAGTGAAGGGAGGGCGCTGAACGAGTGGACATGGGTCAGGACCTGGGCTACGAGAAGCGCCTGGAGGAGCGCTCGAGACTTGCGTGAGCTTTCGAGGCTTCCTTTTCTGCTCTCCAGGCCATTCTCGTGAAGCTTTTCAGCAACCTCTTCCTTCGCGTGGCCCCGGGCCTCCAGGAAGCAGACGCCGGGAGCCCCGGAGAGGGAGAGGCTCTGAGCGGCCTGGCATCGCCTCGGCGAGGTCCTGGTCTTCGGCCTGCAGCTTGCGCAGGCAACCGAGCGCAGCCGAGTGTGCCACGGCCCAAAGCACTGCCATGTCCTCTGGGCAGGTGAGGGCAGACAGCCTGGGAGCGCTGGCGTTTTCGAAGCCGGAGCTGGACCAGCTGCTGAAAGGCATGCCCGACCATCGCTGCGAGCGGCGAGAGAGTATCTTCCGCACGGCTCCGGCAGCCGGCCGCACGCTTCAGGCGCCGCCGTGGACGTGCTGAAGTCTGCTTCCGCACCCCTGGCCGAGCAGTGCCGGGAGGTGCCAAGAAGATCACGGCCAGAAGCGGTTTCTTACGGCTTCTAGCGTAAAGGGCTGGCTCTTGCTATTCAGCTCTGAAGGTGCTGAAGCCCAAGCTGAACAACCAACAGCTGAAGGGCTTGCAGGCTGCGGACACGACATTTGCAGCCTTCACAGCCTTGTCTGCCTTGCACAATCTCTCACAGACCGTTGCATGCCAACGATCTCGGGCAAGCCGTTTAAACTCTTGTCCTATCTCAAGACAGTTGCCTGAGCCCGACAGCTTCAATCTCTGAGCTCGATAATCTCTAAAACAAGCGGTGCACGAAGCGGTGACGGGTGAGTGGGGCAGGGAGTGAAACACGTGGCAAGGATCTCCATCTGCTGCCGTGCTTCGGTGGCTTGGTGGGGAACATTCAGGCAAGGCTGAGGCATACAGTAAGTGCAATCCACTTGTTTCCTTAGCCAAACAGGCCAAAGAGACCGAGTGGCTGAAGTTTCTGGAGCACCTGGAGCCGGAAACCGTCATGCCCAGCGGATGGGAGAAGTTGGGGTCTTGAGACTTGAGACAGCACATCGCTCAAATCAAGCTCGGGCTGCGCTGGTTCTTTTGGAGGTCTCAGGAGGACTCGGAGACCAGCCGCCTCCTGCAAAAGACCTTGATCATCAAGGCGGGGCCCACGTACGCCCCCTTCTTCCTCGTTTCTGGTGAGTCATCTGTGCATCGTCTGTCGTGCTTGGCACTCCCAGTGCTCCAGCACCCGTGTATGATTTTGCCGTGCCCCCAAGATTGCTCGCTGGCCTGTGCAATTGCTTCGTTGCAGGCCTTGCGGCCGGACCGGCTGATCTTCGTGTGTGATTCGGTTGAATTGTTGGGACAGCATCGCGGATTCAATCGCAGCGTCACCCAGGCACCCAGTTGGTGGAAGTGGTGCTTGGGAAGGGTTTCTTGGACCTGCCGGCCTTCAACTTGGCAGAGATCATTGCGAAGGACACACGATAGCGTGCCTGTGCGAGCGGTTCGTTAGTGTTCTTGCTGTCAGGACAGCAAGGCCTCGTCGCCGATCATGATGGCCAGCCCAGTCGCTTCGACTTTTCGCTTGATGTCCGATTTCGTTGGCCGAGGTTTCAGTGCCCGGCTTCGACCCCAGCGGGAAGGTGCCAACTTCGCGTGTACAGAGCATCGACTCGATTTGGATATGAATCTGTCGACACGGTTCAATAAACGGGACTACAAGCAGGTGACGGAAGTGGCGCAGGCACAGAAGAAGTGCCCCGATGGATATTCATCAGTGGGAGGAGTTCATCTTTGGTGCTCTCTTCCTTTTGCCTGCGCGGCAAGGTCTTTGCAGTCCGCCGCAATGGGGTCCGAAGAGGGGTTCAATGTGGCAGACAAAGCTCACGACTCGATTGCGACTGCTTTGTTAACGTGTGGCAGAGGTGCCTGCAGAGATGCAAAGTCTTTGAGGCCATCAAAGCAGCATCGAATGCAGGCAGCTGGGTGCTGCTGAAGTGCTGTGGCGGCAGTGTGCAAGCAATGAAGAGTTGTAGCCAATACCGATGTGCCCTGTGCCCTATGCGGCTGGGCACCGTTTCAAGGAACGTTCACTTGGCAATCAAGTGGCTTTCAGAGCTTGTGAGGGTCTCAGAGCCCTGGGTCGATGCTTCATCCGCAAGCCGGCCGTTTTGTGAGGAGAAGAAGCTTTACGGCATGAACCCGCAGCAGAACTTCCGGCTCTTCCTTACCATGGAGTTCAATCCCAGGACGGGAGACGGACGGACGGGAATTTGTCATATTGACTGGAGAGAGGATACCCGCCAATTTGATCCGCCTCTCCCGCGTCTACGTCTTCGAGCCACCTTCCGGAGTCCGGGGCCTGCGATGGCCTGCGTAAAAAACTCTTTGGGCACACACGCGGCCGCTCAGGTCAGGGCCTCGCTCCGGCGCTCCTTCGCGCAGGTCCTGGCGCCGGAGCGCACGGATCGGCAACCGGTGGAGCGCTGCAGGCGCTTGCGGGAGCCTAGCAGGAACACAATTCCAAAAAGACATCTTCCCGGCTTCTGTCGCCCTATGTCCTGAGACGCGGCCAACCACCAGCGTGTCAGGCTTCACTTTCTGCTGGCCTTCCTGCACGCGGTCGTGCTAGAGCGGCTGCGGTTTTTTCCGGTAGGCTCCAGCACGCTGGAGTCTTTCAGACCGTTGGTTGTAGCTACCTTTATGAAGACTTACAGGCTGGAGCAAGAAATACGAATTCAGCGACGCAGATCAGACGTGCGGCCAGGGCCACCCACGATTCCTCTCTTCCCTGCATGTGCACGTGGGGGCCGTGGGGGTTGGACACCGAGGCCGCGACATCATCGATGCGTGGGTTGATCGGGCCTTAACCACGTGTCCAAGCGGAGCTGCTCTCGCATTCACCGGCGACAGGACAGTGTTTCGAACCAGGGGCAGCTGTCCAACATCAGCCCGGACCGGCGTGCATGGTGTGCGTGGGTGGGCTCCACAGATGCCCGTGATCTGCGAGGACAAGATCCCTTGGGATGCCATCCGATCCATCCTGAGCACCTCGGCTTGGCAAAGTTTCGGTCGCAAAGAAGGGTCGCTATGTAAATACATGACATAAACAAGCATACACACATAATTGTGTCAAGCGGTTCTACTACATTAAACATACTACATTCTTGTATGTGCAGAGCTTGGCAGGCTTGGGTGCACATTGATCATACGTGCACAGTTCCCCTTGCCATTTTGGCTCAAGCTTGGCCGTGAGCCAAAATTGCAGGAGGTGTGAAACTGCTGAGCTTTGAGCGGGAGTGACCGCCATATTGCCAGGGCGGCTGCCCTTAGACGTACCATGGTCCTCAGCTTGGGGCTCGGCTTGCCGCCGTCTATACTGAGGAGACCTTGCTGGTAACGCCGGCTTTGCTCGACTTCCAGGCCGCTGTCCAGACCTTGGCTTTGACTGGGCAACGGGATGCCTCGGTTCTTTTTGTTGGCTGGCGCAGTTGAGATCCACAGCATTTCCCTCCGTCCCTGATTGGGTGCGATTCTGGGGTTTTGCAATGCCGTTGGCCAAGGGCCGACTTCTCCACGCTTTTGGGTTGGGATTTGCAGTTTGCAGCAGAGAAGACCGCGGGGCAGCGGAGAGGTTGAGGATCTTGCGATGGGCATGTGTGGGCGCCCTCAAGGCGTTGCACAGGCGGTAGGCGAACATCTTCGCACCTTTCAGTCTGCACCAGTCCGCAACGTCGCAGAAAGGGGTGCTTACTTATTGGCGCGGCCACAGCCTGGCATGCCAGCAGTGGGCTATTCTCCGCTTTGTGGTGCCTACCCCTTCCAGGATGCGATTCCGAGCTCTCTGGCTCAGTGTTGAATGGGCTGAATGGGCACGAGCGGCACGACGCGCAGATCCTGGCCTCCATGCGCCCGGCCCCTCAGGAGATGCAGAGGCGGTGTTGCGACCCCTCCAAAAGGGCGAGGTGTTTAGGCTGATCCCGAGGTGCGTCATCACGCAAAGCTCTGGCCAGCAAAGGGTGAAAAACAATGCTGCCAGAGGTGGCCAGTCGGTGCTCAGCCCGCTTCGCCCAGCATGGATTGCTGTGAGGGAGCAGGCCCTCGCTGATGCAGATAGTCGGGAGGAGGAGAAGATTGGCCACACGCGTACCGGCGCTGCCCGATGAGCCGAGCAGAGAGCTTGGCCTGAACTTGGCCTGTGTGTTTGTCTGCTGACATCAAGGTTGGGGTGCCCTCGCTTACCAGATCTACAGTGGCCTCTTGTTTGGGTTACCGCCGGCGGTGACGAGCTCTAATCGCGGTTCCAGATTCATTCGTCTATGCTGTGACCTATTTTTACTTCGACGACGCCCATATCACAGACTAGCGGTCGAGCAAAGGGAGCGGACACGAAGCAATGCATGAACGCTACCGGGCACCGATGTGGGCCTTGTCTGAGACCAGCCAGGCTGGGTCCCACGGTCCTTTTGTGTCCGAAAGCGCCTGCAGTGCAGCTTAGCTCATGTTACTTCGCAAGCACCTGTCATACGGGACGAAAGTTTGTATTAGTTTGTATGCACCTATGAATGCAATGACCATTATCAAAGGATAGTGTCATGCTTACAGCAAAACAAAAGTAGCGTGCGTTTCAAGCTCTAGATGCCTTAGGCCCCCAGGCCTTTGCAGATTGCGTTCAGCAATGACATGTAAGATTCATGACATGGCCAATGCAGCCATAGATGTTTACTTCGTCTTGTGTTGGCTCGAATGGTTTACACACCAGCAGCTAGCTCTCTCAGCAAGACAGACAAAAACATTGCTGCCGAATGCAGGCAGGCAATTAGACAAGTCCTTCACGTGGAGGGTGCGGAGGACTTCGGGGGCACGGGGGAGAGGGGGAGAGGGGTGAAACTTTACAGGCCTGTAGCAGATTGCTTTTTCAGCGAAGACATGCAGCACTCATAACTCCATGACATGGCCACTGCAATCATAGATTCATAGATGTACACTTTGTCCCGTATTGGCTCAAACGGTTTTCACACCAACAGCTAGCTCTCTCAGCGAAACATACAAAACAACTGCTGCCTAGTGTGGCCAAGCCATACGGTCCAGTCGGGCCGTCAAGTAACCCCAAGTATTCCGCCTGGGTGGGGAACTTCGAGGGCAATTTCCGCTAGAGGAGCCCGCATTTTGGCCCGCCATCCCACCAGACACCGCCCAAGCGGTTGGCCAAGGCCAATCGCTTCCAAAGAAACGCATGTGCCAGAGTAGCACCATGTCGTCCCATGAAAGTGGCGATGACGGCAGCAACTCCTCCGGAGGACTGAGGACGACCCTTCTCACGGGTCAGCGTCTTGTGTTGCACGCCAGTCATATGCGTCGGCTGACAAAATGCTCAACCATCTCTCGACGACTGGTGTGACATCACCACGCTGGACGAAGAGAAAAAAGGGGCCGTCCTCAAGGCGAGTCTTTCCGGTATGGGAACAATGCAAAAGGAAATATTAGACCGTGCCAAGCTTACCCCAGGAGGGCTGTTCTTGCTGAAAGGGGGGGCCTTGTGTGTTCACTTTGACGGACCAGGGGCTTTACAAGAAGAGCAGTAGTAGGTCGGAGAGGAGTGTTTTGGGACCGGCTCAGTATGACGCATGCTTGGCTTGCTGTTGTTGTTGTTGTTGCCATTCGCTCCTCTCTTCGATTGCTACAGCTTCTCCACTCCGAAAAGGGGCGCGCAGATGCGCAGGGGAAGGGGGAAGCGGGAGAGGTAAGAGGGGAAAGGGAGACGGATAGGCAAGATCTCAAGCACGGGTTGCGAGGCGAGTCCATTTATGGCGGCCGAGTGGACAACGAGTTCGACCACGCTGTCCTGAAGGCTCAGACTGGTGACTTGTCGAGCCCAGGCCCACATTTTCAGAGCACGGTTCGAGCCGTGCTGTTTCAGGCCTTCATCCATCACCTTTTCCGGGCAGAGTACGGGCCACTAAGAAACCCAGTTTGCCCCGAAAGCATGTATTGCTTCCCCGTTTGGCGAGGTCCTTCGATGCTGATTTTTCTTTGAACATGGAGTCTGCAAAGGCAGTCCCAGTTAAGCCCACACTTTGGAAGTGGTGCGAATTGCACAGGGGCATCTGCCAGGACCAGTGCCTGCGATCCCCGGATGGCCGGAAACGAGATCAGTTCCTGGAGTGGTCTGGCCCGCAGCAGCATGCAGCGAGTTTGAATTGGCTTGGAGTTTCTCACGAGTGCAGCACTTAAGGATCGACAATTTGCCTGCAAAGGGTAGCCCGACATGGGTTGGTCGCAATCCTAGGGAAGAAATCTCGAGGCTGAGGGCACTTGTTTCTTCGACATGTCGTAAGGCTTACCGGTGCACGCGGAGCAGATGCTGCGCATCAACCGGGCTTGGGCCCGAGGGAGATCGTGAGCCGCCGTGCTCCGGGAGCACGGAGCTAGGCATCCAAACACTTCTGAGAGGCGAATCACACCCTGGCGCGTTGGCTGCTCCTGCAAGGGAACACCGGGGCGTTGAAAGGCCCCCAAGAGAAGTTCCGGTCGCTGAAGAGGTCCTGTCATCATCGCATCGAGGCGAGAAGAAGGCCGAGGGCCAAAAGAGGAGAGTGGGGTGCCTGGGGTGCCCTGTGCTGCGCTGCTTACCTCCGACTTCGGACTTCACATAGCTCCCTCCCAGGCTTCTGCTCTGATCAACCCGTTGGCAGACTTGGGATCGAAGGCTCTGCACCAGCCGAGCTGCGCAGTTGAAAACCGGGATGAAGTGGCTGAAGGTGAGACAAATGATCGCAAACCTGCGCGAAGCTCAGAGGCACAACATGCGAGTAGAGGCAGCCATGAAGCACTTTAGTCTGAAGGAAAGCACCTTGTTAGGGTCAAGGAGGCCTCAGAAGTTTCAGACCCCAGGCCGGAGTCCTTGGAAGAGATGCAGCGCAGTGCAGCGTCGCTCCAAGATCCGCTCTGGTGGTGACCTCGGGAAGAGCCCCCCCAAAAAAATGGCCGGGTTCCACTTCCTCTCTGAGGCGCTGCTACGACCGAGAGGTCGGCTTCGGGAGGCGCGGCCCTGCGCGGCGCTCGCGTTCGGGGGCCGGTTCTGGGTGCAGATGCAGGTCCCTCTTGAAGAAGGTTCGACAAGACCTGTCCTTGCTGTCTGCCGCCTGCGACGGAAGAGCACGCCTTAGGCTTCGGAGCTTTACAACGGCAAAAGGCCGAGTGAAGATGGTCTTGCACTTGCACATCTGAGGTGCAAAGAGCACCAACGACGTCCGGCAGCTCATTCAGGACTACGAGTGCTGGGCCCCGCAATACCACGGAAACACGTTGCCATCGTGCCAGGACTTGACGACAGACCAGGTTTGACAGCATCATTGGAGTGTCGAGTGATGCATCCTCCTGTGCCGACTTTGACCGCGACCCTTGTGAAGGTGCCAAAGTCATGGCGTCAGTTCGCGATGGCGGGCCAAGCCCTGTCTTGTCGTAATGGCTGATTCCTCATGCGATGCATTCTTTCATCATCGAAGTGACTGCCCGAACTGGTGCCAGTTTGAAGACCCTGAGTCTGCTAGCCCTGCGTGCATGCTCTGCCCGTTGCACCATGGGCTCACCCCTTCAGAATCGGTTCGAGGGAGGAGAAGGGACCAATCTGGTAGATTCGTTGCAGGCAGAGGTCACTGCCACGGAGTACTTGGAAAGCTCGGCCTGTTTCCTCTCACTCGCTCCGACGCGGGACGCGGCGATGGGCTCGGCGCGCCCGCCTCGGAGCCAGGCCGACCTCGTGAAGCGCCTGGAGCAGCTGCGCAGCGTCGTGCAAAGCAGCTCGCCGGGGGTCCCAGCCGTGCCTGCGTGCCGGCGTCTCAGCGCGAGCGCTGCTTTGTCGAGGCTGCAGCAGGTGCAGCTCTGGTACGGGGGCCTCTTCTTCCCGGAAGCCTTCCTGACGGCCTCCCGCCAGGTCTCTGGGCATGTTGTGCTGGGCGAGATGGCCCTTGTAAGTGTGCTGGCATTCCAGGCGGTTGCGCAGCAAAAGCAGGTGTCCTTGGAGGCCTTTCTTCGGCCTGTTGCTTCACGCCCTGGTGGGTTTTCTGGACCATGTGCAGTGTTCGTTGCTCCGAGGAGCTCAACCTCTTGGTGCAGATAGGCCGTTTCCAGTTTTTTTGACCTTCTTCGCGTCGTCGTCTGTCACCGTCTGTCTATGCAGGTGGCTCGGCTCTCTCTGGAGATGATGTTTTCCACATGACGGGGTCCGGCACCGACTGAAGCGATTTTGAAGCAGGCCACAGTCTCGCCGCGGGGCAGCGCGATTCCCAGGCTCCAAATGGAGGGTGCGGCCTGGGGTGATGGGCAGCTCTCCGTGACCGACGAGCTTTCCGTTGTGGCGCTCTCAGATCGGCCTGGGCTGAGAGCGTCGGAGAGTCGGAGCCCGGAGGCCTTGCCCGACACGTGGCTCCGCTGGGTCCACGTCGACTCGGCAGAGCCGGGCGCCCAAACGCGGCAGAGCGACTCTCATGTGTGGCCCAAGGGCCGGAGAGCATTTCGGGTGTCTACAGGTTCAAGCAGACATCTGACCACTTGCGAGTTCCGGTGTACTTAAACACCAGCCGAAGCAACCTTGCTTGCACCTCAGAGAGAGATGCGCACCTGTCAAAGGAGTCGGAGGTGCATCTAGCAGCCGCGGCACTAAGATCAGCGCCTTCACCGTGAAGTCGCCCAAGGATGTGCCGAACGCAGTGTGCCCACGCCAGACTTGAGACATACTTGTAGGCGCATCGCGCAGATTCGGAGAAGTGCTTGTCTTGTCTGGCAGGTGGGTACAGCGCAGTGTGGCCATCACCATCTGGACAAAGCAGTGAGGACCGCCCGCTCCCTACCAGAACATAAGACAGACAAGAAGTCGCCAGCCCCCAGTGAGGAGGCCTAAGAGGGAGAGGGCGATACATGCGGCGATTTGTTAACGTTCCCACCATGCCGCTTCCAAGCGGCTTGTGCTGAGCCCGGGCTGCACCTGGAAGGGTGAAGCTTCAGCCACTTCAGCCATCGGATAATGCCTGTGCTGGCATCGGCAAGACCCTTGCTGAGCCCTGGATGTAGCCCTGGCAGCCCCAGTGTAGACTGCACTTTGACTCGAATTGCTCAGCAAGGGCTCTCGTCTGTGTATCGGACAGTGGGGATCGCTTGTTGGGAAAAGTGGCATCACGTGTTAGCAAGGTGTGGCAGGTCCTGCCACTGTAGGGCCCAAAGAAGACACCAGGCATGGTAATGCCTCAGTTTGGCTTGAAGCGGAACTGCAGCCGCACTCCTTCCAAAGCCAATTCCGCACGCCCGGCCCATCTTGTCTTCCTGTTCGCACGGCGGATAGCATCCCCTTTTCCGGTAGAGCCAGTTTCTGAACCTGCCAGGCCATGTTGCGTTTACAGAGATTTCTCGCAGTTTTCGGTGCGATGCCCAAAGGGTGCGATGCGTTTCGGGGCATGTCTGCGCGTCGCGACGTGCCGGGCCGCGCAGGCCTGGTGGCCCTCCTCCGAACTGCAGTTGGCGAAGAGGAGGAGACGGTCCCATCCCTTGCAGAACGCGAGAGAGAGAGAGAGAGAGAGACAGCCATGATGTTTCGCCTCCCAAGGAAGAAGTTCCTGACGAGCATGACATCGAGGAGGAAGCCATGACCAAAGAGCCCCACAGCCACATTGGATTAGCCAAGATGCTGCATTGCAGAATGCATGGTGGCGCCTTTTGTCGTTTGGCAGGCAGCTCAGGGCGCTGCATGCCAAGTTCGACCAGAACGGCGATGGCAAAGTCTCTTTGTCCGAGGTTCATGCCACTTCAATCTTGGCCTGTCGGTTGTCATCCGTGACACTTGTTGGGGCAGGTGCTAGAGTTCGCCAAGCACATGAGCAAAGCGATTGCGGGCAAGGAAGGGCCTGAGATGCAACGGGAGCTTGCATTCTTGGGCACACTGTGAGTATCCAGGATGTCTCGGCCATCTTGGATGAGATCGACACTGACAAGGCGTGCTGTTTGGCCGGAACTATGTCTGTTTAGAGAGGTGGCTCGTCCCGCAGCATATCCTGGCATCCCTGATGCAAACTGGCGGTGAATTCCGCCAGCATGAGTCTTTTCCCATTCGCCCTGGCTCGAAACTCCATGTCACGCGACACAGCACGGACCCAGAATTTCAGCCGGTTGTGAACTGGTGGAAGGTATGAAGGTTGCGAAGCCGAGTTGGGCAGGTGAAGATGTGTAGGCGAGGCATTCTAAGTCAAAGCTGCATCGACCTGCGAAGAGGCTTGGGAAGCTGCATTACAGTTGGCTAAACGGAAACAGAGTTCGCACAACCATGATGAAACAACACTCGAGTAAATTGACTCATTAGACTCATTAGACCCTTGATCGATTCAGAGCCTGAAGAAGAACTTGCATGAATCCGCTCCGACGGTGGTGCATCCTTGGAAGAGTAAAAACGACGATTCGCATGCACCGGAAGAGCATCAAGGAAGCCCCACATGGAGTCTGCGGCAGGATGGAAAGCTTTCTCTCCAGGAGCACCTGAATGATCTGCATTCACAGGCGGAGAAGTTCAGTCAGCAACCGACTCTTTTCTAGGCCTATAGTCGTGTGCAGAACTGCACTGAGGCGGATGGCGGTGATGAGGAGGAGCTCAAGGAGCTCGAAAGACGCAAAGCCATTGAGACTGAGAAGCCATGAGCTCTGAGATTGCGGGAAAACGCTGATAACTGCAGCTTGAAGATCCCAGCCGGGGCTAATAGCCGGCTCCAGGTTCCTGGCTGCTGACGATGACAAAGATCAGGCGATGCGATCCGAACCAACATCGGCCGACGTCAGATCCGACAGCCCTGTCAGCCTGTCAGGCACTGAATGCCAAGGAAGTGGCCTCTCTTTTCTATCCAGAGACGATGGGGCCTCATGTTCGCTCGCGGCCGTCCCGGGCGCTGCATCCTTTCTCCTTCTAGCTGTGTCTTTCAAGGAATCCTGCAGTGCTGGATGTGGTGGTCCGTGACACGATGAAGATGAAGGCCCACGTGTATGGCTTTTGCCAAATGCTTTTGCCAAGATGTGTGCTTTCAGTGGGGTGGGGAGTCAAGAGAGTCAATGCAGGACGCTGACGGCGACGGAGTGCTGACTCCAAAGGAGTAGTTGGCTGAGATAAGAGCACTTGTCGGCGTTGGCGGGTGTGTCGCTTGAGGTTCTGGGAGTTTGGCGAGGAAGATCTCGAAGATCAGCTCTCTGAGGATAGACACGCATGGGAGTTTCCTGGTCCTGGCAAGCCTCGGCAAGTGACAGGAGGAGGTTTCGGACTTCAAGAAGCTCGACAAAGACGGTAACGGGGTCACTGCCTTCCGCGTCATTTGAAGAGCCGCTGGTGCTTGAAAGCTTCGGTTGTGGTCGGAGGTCCTCAATCTGGAAGAGCTGAAAGCTTGGGAATCCGGTGTGTCGCGCTGGCCAGATTGACCGTTGATTGCGCTGAATTCCGGGGGGGCAAATTGTCAAGCAGCGGCCCCAAGTGGTTGGTGGAAGAGAAAGGGCCAAGACTATAGCTGTTGCCCGGCTCTGTACCTCAGCAGGTTCCACACTGAAGCTGCCATGGTCCGCCTGCTGCAAATTGCGGACAAGGCTTCCTGGCTCAGACTGGCACAGCCGCGAGGGCTTCTGCTATACCCTTCGCCCAGGACGGAGACATGATGGCAACCGCCGACGAACTGGAGAATGCGCGAGAGGACTGATTCCGTCGCTGTCACCTGCATGCACACAGCTAACACAGGTAGAGCTGGCTCCAGTGCACTTACAACTCATAGCTGCTCACAGCTGTGCCGTTATAGCTGTGCCTTGGAGCCTGGGAGTACTGGTTTTCTCTGTCGCATCATGAACTGTATCTGTCTGCTGGAGATAATCTGTGCATGTCCTTTCGAAGGGGTTCACAGTCGGCAAAGCAGCCTGTGTGCTAAGTGTAGTGATCCTATCCGTGGTCGCACCGGCGTGGTCGAGCAGAATTGGCATTTCCAGATGACGTGGTTTAGTACATAATCCATCCCGCTGACACGGCAGGTCCGTCTGTGGTGCGGTTCACCTGCTCTGGTGCTGTTTGAGCAGAAGCATTGGCCGTCATTATCCGTCATTCAGAACATCCTATCGACACCCCTTGCCTCGTTGCCCTCCCCTTGGCTTGGGCGGTGGGTTGAGCCGCAGGCCACAATCCACCCCCCGCACGAACTACGACAGTCTTGCTGATCACGACTACGTGCCTGCTCCTGCTGCTATGGCTTTAAATGCGAAGCGGCACCTTGTGAAATCTTGTGACAGCGACCAGATGTCACCAAGAATGCTTCCCCAACAGCAGGATCGCGCCCCACCCCCCTTGCGACTACCCCGAAGGGCAGGCCCTGCACAGCACAGATCCATGACCGCACACACTGCGGAGCCGTCGGGCATCCTCAAGCATCTCTCATGTTGCGGGCAAGTTCTCTCAGGGAAGTAGGTCTTCGCAAGACTGATCCTATCACGTCAACAACGACACAGCGAACTTACCGATTGCTCACACACTGCTGGAGCTGATAGAAACACGCATCAACAGTGAGAGAGAGTGACAGAGTTCAACGGTGCTCGGACCACACTTCGGTAGAGGCCCAGGCCAGCTGAACACCGAAATTATGAGCCTTGAGAGCAGATCCTTATTCACCAACTTTTGCCTGCATCTCGTCATCTACTGGTAGGGTATTGTGTATTGAATACGTATTTCAGCAAATCTGCCACAGACTGTTGTATATTCAGAGAGAACAGCGCATGGCCCGGATATGCGAAATTAGACATCTGGTCGGCAAGCGCAAACTTAAGTGTGTGCGGTCAAGCTAACGGGCAGCAGTGGAGGGATACTTGGCAGTTAACAAGTCGCAGACAGCAGGCGCATGAACAATGACCTAAGGAAGAATCGACGAAGCGAAAGTGTTGTCAGAGGAAATCAAACAGAATGCCAAGAAGGATTAACTTAGAAGATCAAAGCGAGACTGGCAATAATTTACAGGAGTGAAAAGTAAGCTTTGCCACGCTTTCCAACGAAAGATGATAACGGTCATGTGGCTCCCAAGGATGGAGCCGAGTGCTAAAGACCTAGTGCAAAAGCAGAAGCGCTCAACACAGGCACCTTCCTCATAGAGTATCATTGAGTCTCGAAGAGTATGAAAACAAACAAGCAACCAGGACCCGACGGCCTTATGATGGAACTATTCACGTGGATGAACGCTGCAAACAGAGCGTCAGAGCTTGCACTCATCTACTTTTGGTGGTGCAAAAAATCTGCCCGGAATGTTGTCTTCTTGGCAAAAGAAGTCCACATTTATTGATATGCCGTCAAATTACAGACGTTTTTGAAGATTTCTCCGCTCATTATAAGATCTTGATGTGCTTGATACCGTAACCCAATCGGCTGCGAACCATGATGGAGCCAAAGTTGTCGAACACACGATATGGGTTTCGCCCGGCACGGAGTACGTCACATGCGATATATGCCACCGGACGCACGCCAGACATTGCAGAACAACGAGGTTGCAATCGACTCATACCATGGTAGATTGGGAAGAGGTCTTCGACAGAATACAACATGATAGGATGGCGATAGCCTTCAACCGGCTCGGCATTCATAGTCATAGTCACTTTGTTGATGTCAGAATGAATTGTTACAGTAATCCCCGGTCTGGCATTCCCCAAGGTTGCCCTTGGTCAACTTACTTGCTCGTGTTAGTTATGTCTGTCATAGACCCGACATCAGCTGCCAGCAGTAACATGAATCGTCGTACGGTGAATGGTTCTCCGAAATCGATTCCGATAGAGTGGACTATGCGGACGATACTTTACTCATCAGTACCGACATCCATGCTGCCAATGATTATTGATTACGACACGAAGTTTGAAAAAGCGTCGGCGCAATTCGGGTTATGCCTTAATGGGGGCTAGTGACTAATGCTGTTATGTTGCTATGAACGGTCATAATGTCGTCAAGTTTGCCGGTACCAGGGTGAAAAAGTAAACGAGGCCATGTTACAAGAAATGAAATATACCATAGAATACATGATGCCTTACAAGTTTGGTATAAGCTAACAAGTTTCTTCAAGGCTGTGCAGTGCCCAGCGCACCGGAAGTCGCACGTGTATGATGCCATTATCAGAGACAAGCTCCCATACCGGTTGGAAACTGTTCATCTAACGCAAGCGATGCAGAAGAAAGTACATGCAATTCAACCGAGAGGAATTAACAAATCCGAGGTTTAGAATGTCCTGTTGTGAACCGAGCAGACACGAATGACGAGATTCTGAGGAAAGCAAAAGAAGGGAAATTATAAACCCATCAAGCTGTTTTCGGAGTTGGTTCGAGAGAAGCGTGTCAAACTAGCTGCCAACTTCTGAGAACCAGTGAGGAGGACCCTCAGGCAAGTCAGTTATTTACCCATCTCCACGAACACGTTCGAGATTGGTTAGCGTATTCTAACAGGTATATATCTGGGAAGATGAGGCCAATCCTCCGACTCAACATGTTTGTTCAGGTCCAACAGATTTTCGAGCAAGTCAGAAACTGCCAATTTTAAACCGCCCCTCGTGCCCACGGTCGGACTTTTTCTGCCCAAGTAGCCAAGGGACTGTGTCCCAGATAAAACGGTGAAAAGAGAGAACACGCAAGCAGATTGCAACAGCATTCCAACAGCAAGGCCGAACACAAAATCGTGCGTGCAGCTCACACATGCAACCCGTACGAGTGACACTACATGCAAGCCAGGCATTTCCACGATTCCAGCTGCAGATGTGATGCATTGTCAGGAGCTTGCGAGCAGTGATGCCCAGTGCGCCTTTGCATTGCCCATGACAAACGGTCACCTTTCTGTTCGAGCTTGGCATGTGTGGTCTCCTTCCTTCCACGCAGGTATCACCTCATTGAGTGGGCTGAGCACCATGAGCTCTAAGTCATCACCTGATAGAGCACGAACAGCAAACACAACAAGAAACTTCGACTCCCTTCAATGGTGCCTGCAAAAGCATAGGCTTGGGCATCCCACAGACAGAAAGCCCCGAGCTTTCAATCGAGCCGGAAAAGACTCGCTGCAAGGGCCGCGAGGTTTGGGAGAGAGCGCCAGCACGCCGACTTCTGGCTCGTCCGGTTGGAAGCCAGAAGACATCTTCTTTTAGCGGTTCCCGGAGCCTTTCCCGAGAGGGCTTGCCAGCCTGCTGATGGCAAGGAGGCGTTGGGTCCCAGCTTTGGTCCCCGCCTTTGCATCGGGGCTGGCGAATGAGGGAGCCCTTCGAGCCCCCGGCTCGCTTACGAGGGGGCGGCGCCGGCATTGATGCGCCCAAGCCGCCGGATGCTCGGAAGAAGGATCCGAAGAGTAAGAAGAAGGATCTGAAGGAGGTGAAAGAGTCCTGGGGCAAGGTCGATGAGCTCGATGACCGACAGAAGCATGACATGGCAGCATTGGGTAAGCAAGCAGATGCACTCCGCAATGTGAGGGAGCCCAAAAAGAAGCGCCGATCTGAGAGAGAGAGCCTAGATCCGTCGATTCGCGAGATCCTGGAGAAGTACTGTGAGTTCTCCGTGGAGCAGGGCCACTCGGATGTGTCCTTGCAGATGCAGCAAGCACTCAAAGAGCTTGCAAGGCAGTTGCAAACGACAGTGGAACGTGCCGATTGTGCCGAGGAGACTTTGTCCTCTTTGCAGGCCCAGTTGCAGGAGCAATCCTCAGCCAACAAAGAGCTGGACAAAGAGAGGCTCTCGGCGCTTCAGAAAGTCGAAGAGCTCCAGCTGCAGGCCCTGGAGCTCCAGAGTCAAGTCGAAGAGCGGCACCGCTCTTCAGAGCGGCACCTGGGCCAAGAAGAGCGGCAAGCGGCGCGGCAAGCGCAAGCGGCGGCGCAGGTGGCGCGGTTGGAGGCTCTGCTGAAGGAGGCCATCCTGCGCGGCGCAAAGCTCAGCCGTGCTGCCGCCGAGGCCGAGGCTGCTCTGAACGAGACGGAGAGGCAAAAGAAGAACTTGGAAAAGTCTTTGGAGAGAGAGCGGCGAAAACGAGAGCGGGGAGCACACCAGCGACGACTCCTCGAGACCGAGCTGCAAGGCTGCGAGCGGCGTTGCTCAGCGGCCGAAGCAAGGCTGAAGGAGTACCTCCAAGCAGCCTCCGAGGGTGCGGAGAAAGTGGTCGAGGCACACATGCAGCACTTGGCCTCCGCCGGCACCAGTCTGGCAGCCAAGGTGGAGGAACAGGCAGGGGAGAGTGTTGGTAGTCATTCTGCCGCTCAGAATCAGAAAAAGCCTCTTGTCGCCGTGAGGCTGAGGTCATCCAGGTGCTCCGCAGCCTGCTACAGGACCACAAGGACTTCATCCGTCAGCAGTTGGGCTCGGAGCTTTCGCTGCCCTCCTTCCCGGAGCCGGCAGAGTCGGAAGCCGGTGCAGAGTGAGATTTTCGCCGAGCACCTGCAGCTGCTCCTACCTGTGCAGATGAAAGCGCGCCTCCGAGGGTGCTCCGGATCTGGTTGAGCAAGATGCTCCCAGAAGAAGCATTAGCACATAGTGACTCCGAGCTCGACTAGCCACAGGCTGGCCGCCCACAGGCTGGCCGCCGGACGCCTGAAACCAAGGCGAAAATACAGTGGCAGAGGGCAGAGGTGCAGTGGAAGTCGAGACTGGGATGATGTGTCACAGTCACCTCAGGGGATTTTCTTTGCATTTCCTGCAGCTTTGGGTTCTGGAGTCCTTGGCCTTGGCCCCTGTGCGCCTCTGGAGGGTGCAGAGTCCTTTGCTCAGACCTCATCAGACTCGGCCTCCCGCGGCCGTGAGCTGCCAAGGAGAGGATGGCCAACAACGGCACTGACAGTGCCAAGCACTTAGGACAGGTGGTGCAATGGGGAGCTGTGGGCAGCGGCATTGGTTAAGGCGCCACCTCGCCCAACGGGCCCGCCGCCACCTCCGCCTGGCATTGCAAGCGCGCTCAGAGCACCCATGAGCTGTACACTTCAGGAAGAGGCTACGAGGTCGGATTGTCTAAGACTCTAAGACTTAGGATGCCCCCAGCAGTGATGTGGCGCCTGCCCGAGACCAGATTGAATGCTTCCTTGACGGAGCAGGAGCAAGTGAACCTGTGCCGAGACCCTCTGATTCTGAGGACCTGCACCACGACATTGCTCGTGACATTGGCCAGCAGGCTGGGATGCCTACACACTGGCAGACAGCGCATGCGTCGTATACCCCAGCCGCGCCCAGGTGGAGGTCATGATTCTTGATGCAAAGCATGCGTCCGAAACGAAAGTGGGAAAGGACTCCTCATTGGTTGAGCTTCTTTCTGCTCTCTTACAAGCTCTGTGGTTCCGCGAGCTTCGATGTGTGCGACTGGCAGGAGATCACAAAGATCAAGGGCAAGATGGAGGCGAGTCCTTTCGGCTTTTAGGGGTTTTCGCAGCGTGAGCAGGGTCAAGTTGGCGTCCCTCTCTGAGGCCATGGCCGAGAAGATTAAGATGATCAATGAGCGTGTTGCTGCGGCCTTGGGCCAGGTGCCCACAGTAGCGGATGCTTAGCTGCGTTTCGTCGAGGCCGGCATTGAGCCAGGCAGAAATGGCCTTCTCAAGGCATGGCCGGAACATGCCATTGCTTACTTCTCTGGGTGGGAGCAGCAGATCCCCTGACCAGTCGGACCTCCAATCGAGCATCGCCAAGCTTGAGGAAGTTTGGGAGGGTGAGGCGGGGAAGATGCAGACCTTGTCGGTAGAGAGACAGAGATAGAGAGGCAGAGATAGATAGAGAGAGAGAGAGAGAGAGACAACCAGTGCGCGTGCACGCGCAGAGTGCGGTGCCTGCCGTACTCTTGACTGTGTGGAAGAAGAGAGAGCGGGGGAAACCCCTGCACCACAACCCTGGCGAAAGCGGTGTAGGGGTAGGGGGTCAAACCCCTGCACCATAGCCCTGGCGAAAGAAAAAAGAAAGAGCGAGAGAGAGAGAGATAGAGAGAGAGAGCGCGTGCAAGGGGAGCTTCCCCCTGCCCATAGCCCTGGCGAAAAAGAGAGAGAGAGAGAGAGAGCGAGCGCTGGTAGGCAAGCTTGCAGGGGGCAACAGTTCACTTCCTAGCTCAGTTTGGCTAGTGTTAAGCAGGTTCTTCGGGGGGAACAGTTGCCACATGCCATGCAGTAACACACCGCTGAGCATCGTACAGAGCAAGCAGCCCAGACCACGGCCTCATCTCAGCACGTAAATTCGTACAGACCTCAAAGAACCAGTGCGCGCGCGCGCGCGGGGGGGCGGAGTGCCGCTTTCCTCTAGCTGTGATGATGAAGAAGCCCTGGTGAAAGAAAGAGAGAGCGAGCCCAGTCCCTTCAAAGCCCCATAACACATGGGGTGCCCATGTGGCCGAGGGACCTGACCCGTCCCTCATGCCTGGGGGAAGAAGACAACGAGCACTTTGTCTCGCTGTCTATTGACGCAGTTGGGAGCCAGTCAGCTAGCAACACCCGGGGCTAAAACCGCAAGCAGAGAGTGGGATTCTACATAAACGAGCACCAGGCACGCGGTACTGGGGGTCAGCTGGGGTCGGCTCCTGGAGCTGCTCAGTTTAGCCGAAACCCACAAGATCCTGACCGCAGACTGGACACGCACGCTCGGCGTTGCGCTGTGCGCCGCGGTCTTCCCTTTGTCCTTAAACGCCGTGCAAGCAAGCAAGCAAGCAAGCACGAGAGAGAGACAGAGAGAGAGACAGAGAGAGAGAGAGAGAGAGAGTGTGTGCCCGGGGGAGAGAGAGAGAGAGAGAGAGTGTGCAAAATTACAGTGACCAAATTAGTCAGTGAGATCAACCTATCGCAAGATCACTCACTTTCCCCAATCACACACTCAAGAGCATTCCTTTGTGCAACCAAGCAGTCGTCCAGTTTTGAGCCAATGCCATTCGGCATTGTTGCATTCACAAATGCATCTTGAACATTGAGGGCTCATTCGGGAGGTGTCATTTAACACAGTCCCTTGATCTTGACTTCAGTCGAAGATCATTCAAATCACTAACTAATATAAACAAC